GTTATGGTGTTGCAGGAGAATATTGAAAGTTCCATGGGCTGCCAAAAGAACAAACAGATTTGTGTTGGAAGAAATGCAGCCAGGGTGCTCCTTGGAGGCCAGGATGGCCAGACTTAGTCTTTCATACTTCGAACGTATTGTCAGGAGGGACCAGTTGCTGGAGAAGGATATCATGTTTGGTAAGATGGAGGGTCAGAGAAAAAGAGGAAAACGCCCAGTGAGATGGATAGGCAAAGTGGCAGCATCAATGGGCTCAAGCGTGGAAACAATTGTGAGGTTGGCTGAGGACCAGTCAGTGTTTTGTCCTGTTGTGCACAGGGTCACTGTGAGCTGGTACTGACTCGATGCGCCTAACAACGTACATTCAAACTATGCCTTGATCCCTGTAATACAGAGCCCTGTTGTTCTAAGATTGAGCATACATCCCTGTTTACCTCTGTTCCATTTAGCCAATGCAAACTTACCTCAGTGTTTCCCTTGTTCTTCTATCCCCTTTCCCCTTCTTGTGTTTTGCCCTCTCTGTTATTGTTTTTTTAAGTTGTGGAAGATAAAAGGGGGCTTCAAAAATTTATGGAAAATTGAATTAAGAGAAAGTGAATTTGTCCATGGACTTCTGAATCTCCTTTATGTATTAGATGAAAAAACTTGTGACAATTTCTTTTGGCGTGTTTGAAATATTAAGGTGCAGCATTCATCTGCCACTGGGCATGTCTTTGTGACCTCTAGTACCCAAGAATCCCTGGTGGCACCGTGATTAAGCACTTGGCTTCTAACTGAAAGGTCAGCAGTTTGAAACTACCAGTGGCTCCACAGGAGTAAGACGTGGCAATCTGCTTCCTAAAAGATTACACTCTTGGAAACCCTATGATGCAATTCTATTCTGTCCCTTACGGTCACTGTGATTCAGTCTGGACATGAATTAACTGAATAGCAATGAGTCCCTTTTGTGATCTATGCATTTAAAACTTGAAACCCCCAAAACCAAACTTGTTGCCATGGAGTTGATTCCGACTCACAGCAAGCCCATAGGACAGAATAGAAGTGCCCCATAGAGTTTCTGAGTTTTAAATTAAATCTTTATGGAAACAGAGTGTCACATCTCTATCCTGCAGAGCAGCTGCTGACTTGGAACCACCAACCTTTTGGTTAGAAGCCAAGAGCTTAACCACTACACCATCAAGGCTCCTTATCGCAAAAGAAGAGAGTTTAAAGAACAACTATCCTATGTATGTATCTCATAGTGTGTGTTTCTCAAAAACATATTTGTAAAATATAATAGCAATGAAAACTCAAGAGAAGTAGAAGAGAAAGAATTGGGATAAAATCCAAAACTGATGCAAGCGGAAATAAATGTACAAGCAAAAAAATGAACAAAGCCAAAAACTTTTTTTAAAAGTTTAAAAGCCAAGCTTTTAAAACAATAATAAAATTGTTAAAACATTTAGCAACACTGACCAAGAACAAAGAGAGAAAACATGAATTACAAATATCAGGCATGAAAAAGCAGACTCATTACAGACTTTCTAAATCCACAGCCATCTCGTTGACTCTGACACATAGACCCTAGAGGACAGAGTAGAGTTGCTCTCTAAGATTTCCAAGGTTGTAAATCTTTATGGGAGCAGATAGCTTCATTTTTGTCCTGTAGAATGTGGGTTCAAACTGATCTTTCAGTTAGCAGCTCAATACTTAAACCACTGTGCTACATAGACATTCTAGGCATTTTTAAAAAAGATAGTAAGAGAATGCTATGAACGATTGTTTGACAAAAAGTTTGGAAATTTGCATACAATAGACTATTCTTTGGAAAGAACTTACCAAAGCTAACACAAGAAGAAATAGAAACTTGATCAATGTTATAGCTGTTAAGGAAATAGAATCCATCATTTAACAGCCTTCACACACACACACACACACACACACACACACACACACACACAAACACAAGTAACTCAGGCTCAGAAGGCTTAACCACCAAATTCTTCCAAACATTTAAGAATGAAGTAAATCAATCTGAAAGGTAAATAAATCATTAAAAATATTACTTTATTTTAATGAGGCCAGTTTAACCTTGATACCAAAGCCTGACTAAGATGTTGTTAAGTGCCATCAAGTTGGTTTTGATTCATGGTGATTCTGTACATGGTGTTTGAGGAACAACTGGTAGGTTTGAACCACTGATCTTGTGGTTAGCAGTCCTCACCTCACCAGAACTCTGACAAGGATATTACAAGGAAGGGAAATCACAAACCAATATTTCTCATGAGCACAAAGACAAATATCCAGAATAAAATATTAGCAAATCACATTTTGTGTGAGAAACACAAATCATAATACATCATCACCAGGTGAGGTTTGTTTCAGAATACAGGGTGGTGTAATAGCCACTGTATTCTTTAAATGGAAGAGAAATTACTTGCCTTCATCCTGCCAAAAATCCATTTGACATACAAGTTGATAGAAAAAAAGGACAAAAAATTTGAACAGACTCTGACAGAGAAGCCACTCAAATGCGCATGATCAGTTCCTCTCCTCCATTAATTATTTGCCTCTTGTCTGTTTTTTGCCTCCCTGAACTAGAAGTCAGAGTTTTTTGTCTATTGTGGTGATGGTCATGTCCCTAGAACAACCCAAAAAACCCACTGGTATCGAGTAGATTCTGACTCATAACAACCACATAGGACAGAGTAGAACTGCTGTCAATCGTCTGGAAGCAGACAGCCTCATCTTTCTCCCTCTGAGAGGGCTGTGGGTTCAATCTTTCCCTAGTGTGCAATGCTTAGCCCACTGCAACATCAAGGATCCTTTTTTGTCCATTGTGTTGATGGCTATGGCTCCATTCATAGTCAAAGAAAGACAGAAAGGTGATACGCAAGCCTTCTGGAATCAATGCGGACCTGCCTGTGGGGAGCATGTCTGCAGCTGCTGCTTAAAGGTGTCATGCAGAACAGTCACACCTGTCAAATGTGCCTGCCCCAAAGACTGCTGTCAGCACCTCTTTTGGCATGTGTGCTCACACGTGCACTTTCGCACACACTTACGTACATGCTCAGCTCCTGTCTGGACCCTAGAGGCAGGTAAGTTTCCTGGCAAGATGGCATGGGGCACCGAGGGTCAGGTAGGAAGAAGGGGCCTGGTACCACCTCTAATTCCCTCTGAACCTTTCCCTCCACTTTGATTCTGGACGCTAACGCTAGGTCCTGAGATGCCAACTCCATGCCGAATCCTAGCTGTGGTGATGATGAAGAGTCCCAGTGACCTCCAGAAGGGAGCCCTGCACATCACAGCCAGACAGGAGCCTATTTCACAGATAGGAAACTGAGGCTCACACGTCCAAAGACCTTGTTCCCTTCACATCTGTTGGGGACTTAGAGCAGCTGACTAGACCCAACACTCCTCAAGGGAAAGGACCTGCTATCCTGAGCCTATTGGACAGAAACCCTCACCCAGGTCCTAGCTGCAGCAGATGACCTGGTGCTGATGGGACAATGAGCGAAGAGGTTGGGCCAACCCCAGAAGACCCTGTTGTAGAGAGCCTTGAGGTGGGGAGGCAGCTATACTAGCCCCAAGGCCTGGCCTTCAGAGGTTGTGTGACCCTCTCAGTCCCACACAGCAGCTGGACCAGTCCCAGGCTTCCTCCCTTCCATTCCTAACTTCTTCAAGCAAGAACAGGAAGCAGTGAGCATTGTTGGACAAGAAAACACTGCGGGGGTGGAGGAAGAAGCCACATCCGCCCTCTTCCCTCTTCACAGAACGTGGGGACCCTAGGCCCTCTTCCCTCTTCACAGAGCTTGGGGACCCTAGGTGCTGTCTCTGCATCCCTATCCTTCAGAGCAGGGAAGGAGCTCTTCTGGGGTGGGGTTCCCTCCCCATCCCCAGGGCTAGCTAGCTTTCTGTCTGTCTCTGCCCCCTCATCCTTGTCACAGAGAAGTCATTCTGAGGAGAGAGGACAGAGTCAAGCAAGTGAGAGTGGGGGGTGCAGGAGCCTCTGCAGCAGGGATAGAGGAACAGATGAGGGGGAAGAAATGAATGAACAAATGCACAAGCCAAGGGGGATGTCTGTAGGGAGGTTGTCTGGGAGCAGGGCTGGGACCCAGCTACATTCCCTCTAATTGGGAACCGTCACCTCTGGGGACAAAGAACATCTGATTCTGACAGTGGTCTGTGAGGCAGATATTCCGGGAAGCAGACCTGGCTACAGCAGTGGGGGCAGGCAAGGGAGGGGGCCAACAAACTTCCCTAGGGCAAAGTTTCCTGGAAGCGGGGTGAGAAACGCCAGCTGTACTCCCGCACCAACATCACACAAATGTTCCTCCTGCCCTTGGTCAAGGGCCCAGTACCAGCACAGGGTGGGGAGTGAGGATGTGGGGGGGTGTATGGGGGGGCTGGGGTAGAAAATAGAGGCACAGCAATGGGTTTTCCATTTCTGTCTCAGGCACAGGCTGGTGAGAGTGTGGCCCTGAGCAACATGGTGTAAATCCCGGGCAGGTCAGTGCTATGTGCAGCACCCAGGCACTCTCAGCAGCCAGCATGGGGGTCAGCCTGGGCCACCACTTCCCACCTGTATGAGTTGAGCCTTCAGTTAGGAGGGAACTCACCCTCTCTGTCCACACCTTGCTCTAGGCTCATCTCTGGCTTGGAGCTGGGGCCCCAGGTGCAGGGCACTGAGGCAAACCCCTCGGCCTAGGTATGCCCTGCACAGACCCCCTCACCCCCGTTACTCACCGTCCGATGTCTGAGCAAACCTTGGAGTCAGCGGCTACAGCTGCACGAGAAAAGGCTTGGGGGCCACAGGGGGGATGGTGTCTGAAGAGGACCACTGTGGGCACAATGATGACCACTGCCAGCCCCAGCCCCAGCAGCACCAGGCTGACAGTGGGCCCTCGGCCCCGAGCCATGGCTCCAAGTTCTCAGGTGAGGGCACAGACAAATGGAGAGATGGATCAGAAGAGGGTTCACATAGGTGGACTCACAGTTGATTGGACAGATGAACAAATAGTTGGGAGGCAGAGACCGACAAGCAGATGGATGGACACACAGATGGAGAGATAGGATAGTCCAGAAGGTTGGACAGACAGACAACTGAGCAGAAACAACCTTACAGAGCAGCAGCCAGCAGGGCAGACAGGCAGCAAGGCTGCTGCCCCCTCCCAGAGCTTGATCCAGCTGGACTACAGAGACAGCTCTGGCTGCATGCCTGAACTTTCAGTTTTCAGTCCCTTGTGGGCCTTGTCGGGGGGCCGGGGTGGGACAGCGGGGCGTCTAGGGGGTGTTGTTCTTCCAAAGAGGAACAGCGTCCCTTGCTGCTGTTAACTCTCTAACTGCCTAGCTGGTGACCCTGCCCATGGTGCCCAGGACGACCCCAGGTGCTGAGCACTCCCCACAGCTGTTCTCAGTTCCCAGAGAGGATGGAAGCAAAGTTCAGGACTCAAATGAGGATCCAGGCACCAGGCCCAGAGAGGGCGGGCCCCTGCTCTGGCAGATAATGTTTCTGGGCAGAGTCAGAGGGAGATGGGGTCTGGAGCAGGAGGGGGCCCAAGACCATGTCACTCAGGATCTGGTTCAAGTCTCAGCTTGACCACAGCCTGGCCCAGGGGAGTCCCCAGGAGACCTCAGCTTCCTATCTGTCTGCACAGTGGGCAGGCAGGCAGACGATGCACCAATGTGTGTGGGTGTGTGGGAGGGGGGTGGGCAGACAGTGCACACACCCCTCCTTGAGTGCCAATGACACCCCCACCCCCACCCCTGAGCTTGTCCTCCTCAGGTCCCAGTGTGCTAACCACCAGAGAGTCAGGACCTGACTGGGCTGGGTGCCCTCAACAGCCCGCATAGCTCCCCAGCTGAGCCCCCACCTCAGACCCGGGGTGGCTCCTGGGGCCACAGAGAACCAGAGGCCCACGCTGAGGGGCTGCCGCAAAGGTCACACAGGCTGCCATGCCTCCAAGTCCAGAGTCCTGGCCAGCCTGAGCCCTAGAGGCGAGCCTTCCTGGAGGTCTGTTCCCACACTCTTCTCTGGGCCTCCATCGGACCCTCTTGCCTCAGTGACATTGCTCAACCAGGAACCACGGCTTCCTGGGCTGGGGCCAGCCCACCCGCCCACCGCGGCGCCTTGTTCAGGCCAGGGAAGAGGGGGGCAGGGAATGGGAATAACGTTGGGGCTGGCTGGAGGCACAGAGCCAGGATGTCCAGCTAGGAGGGGACCTGGGTGTCCTGGTGCAGAAGGTGATAGGGTGGGGGTGGGGGAATGGAGGAGAGGGGATATCAACAAGAAGATTCAGAGGGGTCAGTGGTTTGCAGGGAACATCCAGTTCTGGGCCAGCAGGTCAGCATCCAGAGCACTATGTCCAGCCCCCACCCTTCTCACGCTGTGCACACAAAGAAAGCAAGGCATCCTTCAGGCTTCGGCGTCTCCCTGCAAGTGGGTTCGTGATTTCCTCTAACAGAATGTTTCAAGTACTCAGCTGCTAACCACAAGGTCAGCAGTTTGAAGCCACTAGATATCCACTAGTCACGGCAGTACAAAGCTGTGGCAGTGTGCTTCTGTAAATTTCAGTCTTGGAGACCCTATGTTGTTACTAGGTACCATCAAGTTGACTCATAGGGACCCCATGTACAACAGAAGGAAACACAATCCTCACAATCACTGTGATATTAGAGCCACTATGGCAGTCCATCTCATTGAGGGTCTTCCTTTTTCGAGGATCTTTCATTTACCAAGCACAATGTCCTTTTCCAGGGACTGGTCCCCCCCGATTACATGTCCTTGTTTCTACAGAGTGTTCTGGCTGTACTTTTTCCAACAGCTCTTTCAATATTCTTCACCAACACCAGAATTCAAACTCTTCCATTATTCTTAGGTCTTCCTTAATCATTGTCCTGGAATCCCTATGTTGTTGTTGCTAAATGCTGACGAGTTGGTTCTGATTCACAGCATCCCTATATAGGTCGAACTGTAGACCTTGCAGTTCAAATCAACCTTGTAGTCAGTCCCAAGCATTAATTAGCAGTGCCACGCCCTATTCTGTCCTATAGAAACAACTCGATGGAGTTGGAAACAACTCAGTGGAGTAGGTCTGTCCTCTGGGAATAAAGTGAGGACTGCAAGGGGAACTGGCCAGCTTTCATTCTTCCCCTGTGACCCAGGCCCCTAACCCTTCAGGGCTCAACTCCCCCATAAGCAGTGAGGAGAAGGAATTCCACAGGAACAGAACCCCACTTCCCTGGGGGTACACTTAGAGTCTGAGGTTTTCCTGTCTCATGAGAGGAGCCCAAACCTGGCCTCCCCAGCTTTTCCCAGTTCCTTGTGCTCACTGGTTGGGGTCTGTGACCAGGTTACCTGACTGAAGTGTGTGTGTGTGTGTGTGTGTGTGTGTGTGTGGTGGGGGGGGAGGGGGAGGAAGGTGCCTGGAGAGTCCATCCACTGGTTCCCTCCCATACCAGCCCTTTCTGGCTGAGTACTCAGCCAACTCCATCCCACTCCTGGGGATCCTGGCCTCATTTTGGAGCTGACCCCAGCCAGTACATTCAGGTTTGCGTTTGGAAAACCCCAACTGGGCTTCGATTAGCATGTTTTGCTCCAGCCTCTTACCTAATCAGCTGAGGAGATTCCCCTGTCAGACCTCAACTTCACCTCCCCACGTCCACGGCGCACGGTGTTCCATCCTTGTTGGCCAGCAGGGCTGAGGAACAGGGTCTGGATTCCTAACCATCTGTCGTTATCTAGAGTGGGGGCGCCCCCTGGTGACCCACGTGACAAAAGGGCACAGCCCAGCCCCAGAGTGAGCCTCCCCTTCCAACCCCCACTCCCTCACTGCTCTTGCTCCAACGTCCAGGAACCCACCTCTCACACACCCCTACTCCCCCAACCCCAGCACATGGACTCCAATCACACACAGAACGATGAGGCCAGGCCAAGAGGCTGCCCAGCACCTCGGCCTGTTTATTGTGATACTTGTCTACTCCTGGGCGATGTAGGCCCCCAAAGTCTGGCTCCTGGCCAAGACAGACATCCCACCCCTAGGTCACTGATCAGCCTAGATGCCCTGCATTGTTAGTAGCCTGCAGGCTCCCCGCCTTTCCGTGAGTCTGAGGCAGCAGCCCAGCCGTTGGGTGTGCGGAGGACAGCCTGTACCACAGCAATGTAGTTGGGCGTGACCTCAGTGTCGTGGTGCCGGTTCTTCAGGGCTGAAGTCACCGCCTGCCAGGAGGGGAGAGGGCTTTAGTGGAACCAGGCCATTTCCGGTTCTATGGTCAGGACAGCAAGTTGCGGTGGCTGGTTGTCACTGCGGACATACTCAAGATGACCAGCCGGGCAAAGGCCCCATCCCTAATCTACCCGGTAACAACTCAAGATGTCCAACTCCAGCCCAGGCTGCCCCGCCCTGGCCACTCGGAGACTCCATTTCCGGCCCGCGGCCCACCTGGTCCATGTGTCTCTCCAGCGTGGTGATATTGGGCAGGAGCTGATTGTGCAGCCGAGGCTCCTCCACTGCCCGCTTCACATCATACTCGAACCACAGGCTGTGGATGATGGCCTGGGGGACAGGGGCAGTGGGGGAGGGGGACAAAGGGGTCAGCGTGGCTGAAGCGGAGGCAGGAGGGGGCGGGGAGGGGTTTGGACGTACCAGCGCGATAGCTGTAGTGATCTTCGTGCCACCAGAGGCGCCCACCACCATGCGGACCTGGTTGTCGGGGCCCACGATGATCGTCGGGCACATGGACGAGACAGGTTGCTTCCCTGCGGCCGCCAGGAGGGGTGGGGACAAATGGGGTCAGCAGCGTTCCGTGGGATGCAGCCCCCACCCCACATAAATCCCCATCCCACACCTGGCTTGATGAAGTTGGCAGGTGAGGGGGGAACGCCAAATTCGTTGATGATGTTGGGTGAGCTGAAGTCGTCCATCTCGTCATTAAACAGGATCCCGCTGGCCTTAGAACGAACCTTGGAGCCGAAGCTTAAGAGTAGCAAGGTCATATTGCTGTCACGAGGTCTTGTGTCATGCCAACTTGGGCCCTCACCTGTCTGTTGCCTCTCATTCCAGTAGGACACCCCCTCCATTGGCCCTGCCTACATCAGCCACCCATTCAGGGCTACACCCACTCACTGGGCCCCACTTCAACTCACTAAAAGTTCCGCCTAGGGCTATGTATGCCCTCATTGGTCCATTGCCCCCACCTGTCTCACTCAGGCATAGCCATGCCCACCCGTTGGGGACTCCCCCCACCCCCAGGGTCACGCCCACACCCACTTCTTGGTGGGGAGGGGAGGCAGACAGCAGTCAACCTTGCTGCTTCCCCTTCCAGCCCTACCCCCCTGGCGCTTTAGCAGTCCTACTAGAGATTGATGGTGCTGGTGGCCGACACGGCACTGCCGTCCTCAGAGACCACTGACAGGTGTGCTGTGCCCCCGTCGTTGGGTGTGTAGAACTCAGGTTCATAGTACGACACAGGGTGCGTCGTGTCGTCTGAGATCTTTGACCGGAGTTGGGCAGCGAAGAACTCAGAAGTCATATTGTGGACCACCTGCAGAGACCCCAGAGCTGGCCTGAGGAGGTGGGAGGGGTGGGGATGGGCACAGGGTCTCAGAAAGCCCCCTCTGACCATAACCTTCCTGTCTCCTAAAGCCTCCAGCCATGTCTCCCAGGGGCTGGCCCAGCATCCCTTATATGGTCTGCCTTCTCGAGTCCCTGGTATCTGCGTCTTTCCAGCAGTTCTGAACAGCTTCTCTCTGTCTGTCCTGCCAGCCCCAGCCTCCCACCTCATTCAGCCATTCATTCTGTGACATAGATATTTATGGGACTTGTGCTGCCTGAGCACAGGGACCCACTTTCCCCAGCAGGCACAACAGCAAGAGAGGTGCAGGGAAGCCAGGGAGCCATCAGGGAAGGTTTCTTGGTGGAGGTGACATCTGCAGAGAGCACTGAATATAGCTGGAAAAGGAAATGAGCCCTGGGCTGGGCTTGTGAAGGTGGGAGGCCAAAGGAGGAATGGGGTTAGAGAGAGGACATTGAGGATGAAGGTGTAACCAAGGGTACAGAATCTGGAGCAGTCAGCACACTGGGAATCTTCTTACAGGGTCCCTCTGGAGGTTGTGTTTGGACAAGGGTGGAGCCCAGTTGGGGCAGAAACACTCAGTCAAGGCAACCCAGTAACCTGCAGCCTGAAGTAGCTATGACCAGGAAAGTGGACAGTGCAGAGACAGAGTTGTGCAGACGTTTTCACTGCCCATCGGACAAAGCTGAGTCTGTCCCAGTTAGGAAGGTGGTGGACCTCCATGTGTGGTGCTCATGGTCAAGGTCGGGGCTGGGAAATAGTGAGCATACGTCAGTATGTTGTGGTTAGCTGTCTTTCGGTGGGCCCCTGACTTCGCGTGATGTTATTATGCACAATAGAATAGAGCTGTTGTGATCCATAGGGTTTTTACTGGTTAATTTTTATACAGAGATCATCAGGCCTTTTTTCCTGGTCTGTTTTAATTGAGAAGTTCCACTGAAACCTGCTCAGCATCTTAGCAACATGCAGCCTCCACAAACTAATGAGTGGTGGCTGCCAATGAGGTGTAGTGGCAGGAATTGAACCCAGGTCTCCCATAAGGGAAGCAAGAATTCTACCACTGGCCATTAAATGGTATGCAAGAGGCTATTTGAAGGAGTCCTGGTGGCAAAGTGGGTTAAATATTGGACTGCTACTTGAAAGGTCAGCAGTTTGAACCCTCCAACCTATCCACAGAAAAAAGATATGTCAATCTGCCTCTGTAATGATTTACAGCCTTGGAAATCCTATGGGACAGTTCTATTGTGTCCAATAGGGGGCTGTGAGTTGGAATCCACTTGATGGTGGTAAGGTTGAAAGCTGTGAGTCTAAACAAGGTTCTTGAGGCTGCCAGGGCAGAGAACAGAAGTGGCCCAGGGTCCAGAACCATAGCCCACCGCAGGTAGTCAGGTAAGAGTTCTCTGATAAGGGCAGAAACCTCTAAGCAGCTGGGGCCAAGTCTGGCCTGTTTTTTTGCATGGCCCTTGGGCAAAGAATGCTTTTTACACTTTTAAAGGCTGATAAGTTGGTGAGAACCTAAGAATACACCAGCATATCATCATCAATTAAATGCATACACAACTGGACACCACAATGTCTAGAGATAAGAGACAATTTCAGTTCCCATGAAAAAACAAGAGAGAATGGCTCAAACAAATGTCCATGACGCAGAGTCAGTAAATGTTTCTGAGGAAGAAAATAATGGAAATATCTGAAAAAGAATTCAGAAGAGCGACATTTAGGCACTTTCAACAGATTGAGAGAAAGATCGAGGAAAGCATGAAGAACACAGGGAAAAAATTAGAAGAAATCAGGAAAACACTACAAGAACACACAGTATAAATGAAAAAATTTAAACAATGCAAAACCTGCAAACAGAAATTCAGAAGATTAATTTTTAAGATTTCAGAAGTGGACAATACATTGAAAGAGCAAAGGCGTAGATCTGAATCAATGGAAGCCCGAATTAGTGAGCTAGAAGATGAATTTGTCAATACTAGCAAACTAGAAGAACAATCAGAGAAAAAGAAGGAAAAAATCCAATCTATGTGGGATACTATGAAGAGAAATAGCTTATGGAAGACTGAAATTCAAGAACAGGAAGAGACCACAAAATCCAGAGAGAAAATTGTTGAAGAGCCGTTGGAAAAGAACTTGTCTTGCATCATGAAAGATGAGAAGATAGACGTTCAAACAGTCCAAAGAACAACAGGACACACCCCAAAATAAAATCACCGAAACATGTTTTAATCAAACTTGTCAAAATCAAAGACAAGGAAAGCCTCCTGAGAGCAGCTTGGGAAAAATGAAAAGTCCTTTATAAAGGAGAACCAAGAAGATGAAACTCAGATTTCTCAGCGAAACCATGCAGGCAAAAAGATAACGAAACGATACATACAAAACTCTGAAAAAGAAAGTTGCCAACCAAGAATCATATACTCAGCATAGCTACCCTTCAAATACAATGGCAAAAAAAAGAATATTTGCTGATAAACATAAAGGAATTTGTAATAACAAGAACAACTTTATAAAAAAATACTACAGGTTGTTCTTTGCATTGAGAACCAGTAGCAACAGACAACAATTTGAGATTAACAAACAGGATGAAACCACCCAAAACTCAATTCAGATATTAAAGTGGGAGAAAGATGAGGCTTTCTGCTCCCATAGGGATTTACAGCCTTGGAAACCCTGTACAGGGTCACTATGAGTCGGAATCGACTCCACGGCACATAACAACAACATATATATATATATCATATATCAAGCAAATGGCAATCAAAGATGAACAGGAGTGCCAATATTAATCTCTGATAAAATAGTCTTTAAGGCAAAAACCACCATAAGAGAAAAGAAGGCCACTATGTCATGATTAAAAGCTCAATGGAAGGATTCATGATCCTTCATATCATCCAGATGACATAGCAATAATAACTATCAATGCTTCCAATAAAAGACCTTCAAAATACAAAAGTCAGACTCTAATAGAATTGAAGAAAGAAGCAGACAACTCCATAGTGATAGCGTTGTTAGGTGCTGTTGAGTTGGTTCCAACCCATAGTGACCTTGTATCGGGTTTCCAAGGAGCAGTTGGTAAATTTGAACTGCCAGTCTTGGGATTAGCAGTCCAGTGTTTATCCTATAGCACCATACTAGGACTTCACAATAATAGTAGGAGATTTTAATACAGCACTTTCAATGAAGGACAAAATAACTGAAAAGAAACTCAGTGAAGACACAGAAGAACTAAGCAACACAATCAACCAACTTGACCTCATAGACATACACAGAGCACTCAATCCAACAACTGCACAATATACATTCTTCTCCAGTCCTCATGGAACATGAGAGTATTTAATCTATTCTCCAGAATAGACCATATGTTAGGCCACGAAGCAAACCTCAGTAAATTTGAAAACATCAAAATACTACAAAGTATCTTTTCAAATCACAACACTATAAAATTATAAACCAACAATAAGGAGATCAACAATAGGAAAACCAACAAAAAAATTAAATACATGGAAATTGAATAACACCCTGCTTAAAAGCTACTGGGTAACAGAAGAAATTTAAATGGAATAAAAATATTCCTTCAATCAAATGAGATAAAAAATACTACATAACAAAACCTCTGGGACACAGCAATTTATAACAAACATGTTGTTGTTATTACGTGCTGTGAAGTTGGTTCCAACTCATAGCGACCCTGTATAGGGTTTCCGAGGCTGTAAATCTTTACCGGAGCAGAAAGCCTCATCTTTCTCCCGTGGAACAGCTGGTACTTTCGAACTGCTGACCGTAAGATCTGCAGTCTGATTCGTAGCCACTACGCTACCAGAGCTCTTTATAACAAACATACACATTCAAAAAGAAGAAAGAACCAAATTCAATACCTTAACCCAACATCTCCAACAATTAGAACAAGAGCATCAAAGTAAGCCTGCAGCTACCAAAAGAAAAGAAATAATGGAGGTTAAAGAGAAATCAATGAAATAGAAAACAGAAAAAACAATAGAAAGAATCAATAAGACAAGAATTTGGTTCTTTAAAAGGATTAATAAAATCGAAAAAACATTGGCAAATCTAACAAAAGTAAAGAAAGAGAAAATGTAAATATCACGAGTAAGAAATGATATAAAAAAATTACATGGGTGATGTCATAACAGAACCAACAAAAAGGATATTAACAGTCTGTGTTAATTTAGGTAGATCTAGTATTTCTAGAAATTTGTCCATTTCTTCTAACTTTTCAAATTTGTTGGAGTACAATTCTTCATGTTGTTGTTGTTGTTAGGTGTCATCGAGTTGGTACCGACCCATAGCAACCTTAAACACAGCAGAACGAAACACTGCCTGATCCCGGGCCAACCTCACTACTGTTGCCACGCTTGAATCCATCGATGCTGCCACTTGGCCAATTCATCTCATTGGGGGTCTTCCTCTTTTTCTCTGACCCTC